AAGATTAAAATAGATGAGAGTAGCTCCTTCATTTGTCAACGATGCTACCACAAACTATATGAACCCAATGATGCCGTGACCGAAGAAGCCGTTGCAGGACCATCCAGAATCGCTGCTGCAGGTACGTTATTTGAAAATTCATGTGATTCTTCTTTAAATTTCAATTCTTTTCTTCTAACTACTAACTTAAACTCTTCTTTTTTGCAATCATTTTTCAGAGTCCATCGAAGCAACCAGCATTGAATCAATTTCCGTTGCGGGACCGTCCAGAATGGTTCCTTTTCCCTGCCAAGGTAAATAATAAAAAATAAATCATTTGTATGTTTTTTTTTTCTAATAATCAATCATTTTTTATATTTATTTTCAGAATCAGTGGAAACAACCAGTTCTGAATCGATCGTTACCACCTACAACGCACCTTTGTCGGACGAAAATGAATTCCTTATACAACTTAAGGATAAATATAAAGAAACAAGAGACAGCAATGAGCGATACAGGATTTTAACCACACTTCCCAAAAGTTGGTCTACATATAGAATTATGAAGGAGTTCAATGTTTCCCAACATATGGCCAACCAAGCAAAAGCACTGCAGCAAGAGAAAGGAATAATGTCGGTGCCTGTAAAGAGGTTAAGCAGAGCTTCATTAGGAGAACCAACGATAATGCTTGTTCGTGATTTTTTACAATAGTGACGATATAAGTCGTGTTTGTCCGGGGAAAAGAGATTATTTAATATCTAAAAATGATGAAGGCGAAATCTACGTACAAAGAAGATTAGTTTTGTGTAACTTGCAGGAGGCGTACTCCATCTTTAAAAATACATATCCTGATATTAAAATAGGATTTTCCATGTTCGCCAGTAACCGTCCGAAACACTGCATTTTGGCAGGGACAAGTGGCACGCATACCGTATGCGTTTGTATATATCATCAGAACGTTACACTTATTTTTAAAACACTACAAAGCAGACAATCACTCCCAGATGGTTTTGATTCCTATCATTTTCATTAAAAATAATTTGTCAAAATCCAAGTGAACAATGCTGGCTGCAGTGTTGCAAAAATTTTTCAGGAACGCAAATTTTGGCCACAGAACTAATGACTATTCTTAGCAACGGACATGTTGAATCAATACAATTCAAACAATGGCGTCAAGTAGAGAGATGCATTATGGACTTAGTTGAAATGGACACACAGGAATTTATTGATACTTTTTTAGAAAAATTATTCAATTTATTGCCGCATAACTTTATAGCTGAGCAACAGGCAAATTACATGAAACACGTCAAAAGCAATTTGAAAGCTACAGAATGCATCATAATCTGTGATTTTTCGGAGAATTATTCTTTCGTTGTGCAGGATGCAGTTTAAGGCTTTCATTGGGCGAACGCCCAATGTACTATTCACCCTTGTGCTATTTATTTTAAAGACGAAGAATCTAACGATTTGAAATTTACTAGTTTTATTGCAATTGCTGATTTCACTAAACATAATCATGTCGCAGTTCGTTTATTTCTTACGCATTGTCTAGCGTTCATAAAATGTAAATTGCCAAGCTTACAACAGATTTATTTTTTCTCAGATGGATCAGGAAGCCAATATAAAAATAAGATGACCGCTTTTAATTTGTGCAACATGCAAAAAGATTTTGGCATTGCTGCCGAGTGGAATTTTTTCGCAACTTGTCATGGAAAGGGCCCTTGTGATGCTTTGGGAGGAGTATTAAAACGAAACGCTGCAAAAGCGAGTTTGCAAGGCCACCATATAACAACGGCCCAAGAACTTTACTCATGGGCTATTTCTAAGCCAGATTCAAAAATACACTATCAGTTTTTTTCGGAATCCGATTACAATAAAATGGAAAGAAAATTGAAAAACCGTTATATACATGTGAACCAAATTTCGGGGACACAGTCATTCCATAGTTTTAAGCCTCAAAACGAAAAGTATATTATTGTCAAACGGTATTCATTTTCAACGGAAGAAAAATGTGTGAAATTGTAATTAAAGAAAATAAATGCTTCATGTTTTACTTATTTTTCTTTGACCTCGTCATTATTTGTAGCATTTAAGTACTTCTCCCAGAATTTTGATACCAAAATTAATAATGTCAAACTGGGGCCTGTTTTAAGGCCACGAAGACTTCAATGGGGGAGGGGAGTCCAGCCACAGTATACGCTCGGTAAAAATATTTTAAAATTTTAGTAAAGTATACGAGGGGGGAGGTAGGATCTGCAATGTTTAAAAATTGGTCTACGTGGTTTATGGACAGCCTCCAGGCTGAACTGAATGTTGCACCCAGCTTGTAAGTTACTCAATACGAAGTTGTTGAAGACCCTCGCAGTGAAAATCAAGAAAAAGCATTTGTAACATATTTTTTTCCTACAAAATCAAATATCTCTGAGTGTTTCATAATTTTTCTTAAAACTACATTAAAACATCTTTCATTTGAAGGGTCAATCGGTCAAGAGGTTCAGAAGTTATAAATTTTTGAAAAAAGACATTTTTGAAAAAAAATGATTTTTTGGACCACCCTAACACGGAAATGGCCTAATCGCGCAATAAAAAAATACGAGTCTAATATTTTTTGATAAGGAAGAACTATACCAATTTTCATGAAATTCTGAGACCCACTCTAACTTTTTTCTATGGAATTGCTGCATATGTGTATGAATTCCATATTTACGTGGCGCAAATGTGCATACCGTGGTGCATCCTAATTTCAATTCGTAGTGATAGCAATGTTTAACATATTAAGCAGGGTTTTAATCATACAAAGCAGATCACTAGCTTTCATGCTAAAAAGTACTGGTTTTCGAGTCATATTAAGCAGGGTTTTAATCATACAAAGCAGATCACTAGCTTTCATGCTAAAAGTACTGGTTTTCGAGTCAAAAGTTATTATACGTCGTTTGATGGCCTCCTAAGGTTACTTAAGTCAAAGTCTTTTTACCAGGATATTCGGGAGAATTATCAATCACGTCTCCTTATGTGCAGCCCATTCATCATTTTAGGACCACCGAAATCATCTTAGCAACAAACAGTTCGATTTATTCACTTTATTTATTTATTTATGTATTTATTTATGTATTTAATCTTCGATATATAAAAACATCGTACAGACAAAAATAACTTATCTACTAATTCTAAGCTTAAACACAGTTTTAGTCATACCAAAATCAAACATATTGGAAACCTCGTTGAAACGATTACAGCAGACATCCAGAGGGTTGTTCATTCCATAGTCAGTACGGTGATTCGATCGGCGGAAGAACTCCGGTTGCCGCGTCACCCGAAACGGTGTGTTAAAGCGGAGTTTCTCAAGTATGTCTGCACAGTCGATATGGTCTGTCAGGACATCAAAGATGAGCATGCGTTGAAGGAATACTCGTCTGCTTGATAGTGTTGGTAGATCAATCAACATGCAACGGCTTTCATATGATGGCAGGTTCGTTCTATCTCTCCAGTGAAGGCCTCGAAGAGCATATCGAACAAAGTTCTTTTGAATTCGTTCAATCCGATTGATGTGAACTGCATGGTACGGGGCCCAGACTTGCACCCCATATTCTAAAACACTGCGTACAAGTGAGCAATACAGCGTCTTTAGACTGTACACATCTTCAAAGAATTTCGTATTACGCTTCAAAAATCCCAGCAGAGAATACGCTTTGGCTGTTACTGAAGCGATGTGTTCGACAAACCTTAGTTTGCTGTCAACGAGAATCCCCAAATCCTTAACGGTGCTCGTACGTTTCAAGCAACAAGTTTCCATTCTGTACTCGAAAGCAATCGGTGTACGTGAACGGCTGAATGTAATCACGCAACATTTCTTGATATTGGCTTCCATTCCATTCAAACTGCACCATTCCAGAAGTCCGTCGATATCCGTTTGAAGCGCACAGCAGTCTACCAGCGACGTGATTACTCGGTAAAACTTGAGGTCGTCAGCATACAAGGATTTTGGAGATTTTATCTTCATGCAGAGGTCGTTAATGAACAAAACAAACAGCAAAGGTCCCAAGATACTGCCTTGAGGCACTCCGGAATGAACCTGGAATGGAACAGAGTAGGACTCACCGACTTTCACCGAAGAACTGCGCCCTGTGAGATAAGACAGAATCCATTGTGTCAGCCACTCAGGAAGTCCTATCCTTTTGAACTTTTCAACTGCAAGGATGTGTGGCACCTTATCAAAAGCTTTGGCAAAGTCCACGTATACAGCGTCGACTTGCTGTCGTTTTTCCATCCTATTCACAAGAGTCGATACATAGCTTAGCAGGTTCGTTGTGGTCGAGCGCTTTTTCATGAAACCGTGTTGTTCAGTAGAGATTATACATTTGGTAGACTGGTACAGCACATCATGCACCAAGCTCTCGAAGATCTTCGGCAGACAGCTGAGAATGGAGATCCCACGATAATTCTCTACATCGTTGAGCGAACCAGATTTATGAATTGGTGTGATTGAAGCAGATTTCCAAATCGTAGGAAAGCACTTCTCGTTAAGTGAACGGTTGAACAAAATGCTTGCAGGTAACGCTAGAGAATTCGCACAATGTTTAACGACAAATGGAGGCAATTGGTCAGGCCCAGCGCCTTTTGAACCGTCGATTGATTGCAACTTGAGCAGTACATCGTTTGGTGAAAAATTCATCCGTGGCACGTTTACATCATACTGCGGAATACTGTCCAGGTACGTTACAGACAAAGGTGGTGAGTTATTACTTGACACACTTTGAAAGTAAGACGAGAACATATTCGCTGATTCCTGCTGCGTAGTGGTAGTCATTCCTTGGTAGCGCATGTTCTGAGGAATCCCTTTCGTCGATTTTCGGTCGTTAACGTAATTCCAGAATGATTTCGGGTCCGCTTTCACGTTGTCCTCGATGCGATGAATGTAGTCGCGAAAACATCTTGCGTTTAAAGAGTTGTATTGAGCCTCTGTATCACGCATTTCAGTTTTTCGTGACTCACTTCTGCGTTTAAAGTATCGTTTCCTAGATTTACGAAGACGATTCCGAAGGTGCCGAAGGTCCGCGTTCCACCATGGCTGGTTTTTGTGAAGTTTCCGTCTGCGTTTTCTCATCGGTACACTAGTTCGGATGATTCCAAAAAGCTCACCGTAAAAACGAACAGCTGCTTCGTCCACTGAATCTGTTCTTAATAATTGTTCCCAGTCAACTTGCTGAATTTTCCCATTCAACACAGTGAAGTCAAAGCGATGAAAATCAAAGCATTCAGACTCCTCTTCGACAAAATTGTTCTCAACATCCAGTTTTAAAACGATCGGTTTGTGATGTCTGTCCATTTGCAACAGCGGTAAGGGTGGTTAATAATGAGAAAGCGAAACGACGAGGGCAAACATACTTTTGAATTTAAAAACTAATTGCTTTGTAATGGAAGTTTGCTCTGGAATTAGTGTACATTACGGTACACATAAACTTGCTGATTATGGTGATCCTCAAAATTCCGCCAAAATAGCGAAAAATTAAACGATTTTCAGATTTTACCTCTCAGAATTACATTAAGCTGAGGGGTCAGAAGGAAAGGGTGTAAGTGACTTTGATCGATTCTCTTCATCGACTTTCTCTTTTGATAGCAGCTTTATAAACAGATTTCGCGCTATTTCTGCCACATAGTTTGATAAAGAAGCTTCTAATCTAGCATCCAGAATGGCACACGCATCAAGGAATGTGTTTGCAGCTGAATTATTAACGAAAGAGATGAAGAGAATCGATCAAAGTCACTTACACCCCTTTTTCTTCTAACTCCATCAATTGTAATTGTTCGGTAGAGGCAATAAACCAGGTTTGTGTTGGAATTCAGCCATTTCCATTCTTGCATGGTATAATCTAGACGTGTAGAGGCCGGAAATCGATGATTCACGCAATTTTGGAATCCAAAATGGTGGCTTCCGGTTTGTGAATGTTTCAAAAAATGTTATGCAACAAATTTTAATGATTTTTTTTCGATAATCTGTAATTATTCTTCTTACATTTACAAGAGCTTCATAAATTCAATGTTGAACAACATGTGATACCAGTGACTTGGTTGTGGAATGCATGTAGCACTAGAGGTTATACAGGTACAAGTGGTAATGGCCTGCCGAGATTTGCTCAGCCGAGCTCGGTAGAAAAAACTAAGTGTGTGGATAGTACTTAACATAACAGGAACTGGGGTTGAAGTTGTCGCTGACCGAATAGTCAAAGTCATGAAACACAGCGAACGAAGAATCCTTGTCACTGAAATCGATGTTTAGACAATAAGACATCATGGACACTGCCAATACCAGTGCGCGGTATGTACTGAAGTAGACCCTTTAAATTAAACTTCAATTTAAATTCCACTGTTTGACATGGTCAAAAAAAATGTGGTATACATGTATGTTCTGCAAAACCATTTCATCCATTACTAATCGAAAGAGTCGGCTCAACATAATCAAGGCGCCAAGGTAACCTATTTCATCAAGCGGAATATTATTTGGCAGAATATCCCATTTCGCGTAATGCCCTACCTTGCAAAAATTTCACAAACCGGAAGCCACCATCTTGGATTCCAAAATTGCGTGAATCTTCGATTTCTGGCCTCTACACGTCGTTCCCGTTCCGAAAATATCCATATCGTTGGCTACACTAGTTTACAAAACAACATAAAAAGTGTGAACTTTAGTGGTTGACCAACGTTTCTAATGCAAAATCCTACGCTGAATTCAATGCCGTGGTCAGAAAAAATTAAAGTAGAGCCATTTTTGAGATATACAAAAATTTTGATTTTTTGAATTTTGGACAAAAGTACGATTACTAAAATGTCAATATCGTTGGAACTAGTGCACCAATTTTAAATCTTTTTTTATTAAAGTGAAGCTAAATAAATTTGCTGTCGTTCACTTGAATATTATGTCTTAATTACAAATTTAATTTTGAAGTCATTTAAAAATTTACAGCATTTTTTTTATTTTTCCTGCGAATTTTCATAAAAATCTTGTTTTATTCAACATTTTTAATGGGATAAACAGATTCAAAAAATCATTCCATAATTTATTCTTAAAGTCCATTAAAAACTGGAGAAAATGAGCCTTTAATGGATGAAATCGGTTGGAAATTGTCGAAGTTATGAAATTTTTTGTAAGATCATGGAAATTGAATGTTCCAAGATTGGCCGTTGTCCCGCTCCTAGGTTCATGCACCACTTCCAGTAAGCCTTTCTGCGGACGTGTACGCATACGGTGTATTTCACTAACACTACCAGCCATCCCGCAAAATTAAATGGGATATTTTCAACAATATAATTTACGCTAGTGTTTGTGAGACCGCTCGGTGAGAACCTAACGCAACCAACTCAATTTGACAGCTTTCTTTCTTTAACATTGCTTAACGATGTATACGACAAAACGTGAATTCAAGTGTAAAAATGATCCTCAAATGTTTTGTTACGCGTGTGGCAACTATATATTTACAAAATCGGTCAATTTCACTGCTTCGTTGCAAACTGCATACAGGCTTTATTTTAAAATTGATCCTGGAGACTTCGACGAACCGTGGATTCCAAAAGTATTATGTAGTTCGTGCAAAACGTGCTTGGCTAGGTGGATGTCAGGCGCAAGGTAAATCGATTTTTTGAATAACTTTCATATAAACAATTTATGTACAGCATGGTAGTGCTTTGTTCTTTCCTGATCGACATTATCTTACTTCATCTATTTTTGATAAGTGTTAATGTCTTACTTACTAACTCACTTATTTGTTATCTGTCAGTCGCTATTTGTCCTTTGACATGCCCACCATATGGCGTCGACCGTTTTGTCATGCAACGGATTGTTATTTCTGCTTGACAAAAGTTAAGCAACAAGGACGTCACAAAACAGTTGAGTATCCACAAGTGGCTTCTATGACAAAACCTGTTCCACATTCAAGTTCGGTCCCGTATCCTGTTTATCCAAAGCGGAAACGAGCGCCCTCTGTTGAATCGACCGTTACAAAAAGTGAGGAGGAATGCGAGGAAGATTTCGAGGTGGAATTGGAAAGAAACCCAAAACTGTTTACACAATCCGAATTTAATGATTTGGTGCGAGATCTCGACTTATCGAAGGAGAAATCCGAATTGCTGGCATCACGCTTGAAAGAACACAACATGCTGAGCAAGGAGGTCAACATTTCTTGTCACAGGAATCGTCACAAGAAATTTGACAAATATTATTCTACAAAGGGTTTTGGGATGAAGCAATGATGGGTGACTATTGTTGGTTTCTGATTCGAGAAACAAGTTCAAAACATCGAAGACAAAGTCATTCGATTCTCAATCATTTTTAATAAAACCTAAATAAATTTCTTTTGTATCAACTCGGTTTTAAATCCTGATATGCCTTAATCAAATTGATATGTAGAGAAAAGAATCTCCCATGAAAACTTTACATGCGATTTCGATGCTTACAACGACACCTAGAAAAGGAACTCTAAAGCTGTTGTATTTCAGCAACATTTTTAAGTGTTTTACAAAAATGCTCATAACTTCTACAATTTCCAACCGATTTCATCCATTAAATGCTCATTTTCTCCGGTTTTGAATGGACTTTAAGAATAAATTATGGAATGATTTTTTGAATCTTTTTATCCCATTAAAAATGTTGATTAAAACAAGATTTTTATGGAAAATTCGCAGGAAAAATAAAAAAAAAAATGCTGTAAATTTTTAAATGACTTCAAAATAAAATTTTTAATTAAGACATAATATTTAAGTGAACGATAGCAAATTTATTAAGCTTCATTTTCATAAAAAAAAGATTTTAAATTGGTGCACTAGTTCCAATGATATTGACATTTTAGTAATCGTACTTTTGTCCAAAATTCAAAAAATCAAAATTTTTGTATATCTCAAAAATGGCTCTACTTTAATTTTTTCTGACCACGGCATTGAATTCAGCGTAGAATTTTGCATTGGAAATGATCATCACCTTACCGAGATCAAAAATGCTGTAAACTAGTGCTATTTGACAGTTTTTCACAAAACCGGAAACCGCCATCTTGGATTCCAAAATGGCATGAATAATCGATTTCCGGCCTTTGTATGTCGCCTCGGTTCCAAAAATATCCATATTGTTGGCTATTTGACAGTTTTCACAAAACCGGAAGCCGCCATCTTGGATTCCAAAATGGCGTGAATCATCGATTTCCGGCCTCTGCATGTCGTCTCGGTTCCAAAAATATCCATATTGTTGGCTATTTGAGTTTTTCACAAAACCGGAAGCCGCCATCTTGAATTCCAAAATGGCATGAATCATCGATTTCCGGCCTCTAAACGTCGTTCCCGTTCCGAAAATATGTATGTACCCATGTTGTCCGGTGAATCCTTTCGAAGTACACTTCCAAGTTTGTTTTTTGGCTAAGTCCAGTCCTCAGAAAACACTTAGAATGTTTTGGCTCTTTAACCGCGTTATTTAAAAAAACCGTGTAAAAAACAAACCGCGTTATTTCAAAAAACCTTGTAAAAAAACCGCGTTATTTCGAAAATCGTCGTAAAAAAAACCGTGTAAAAAAAAAACAGTGTAAAAAAAAAACCGTGTAAAAAAAAAACCGTGTAAAAAAAAACTTCAGTGTAAATGATTTTCCATGCCTGCTCCTCAATATCCTTTCTATGTACTCAGCGTGCGACAACCATATCCTTCTTGCATTTCGAATAGGGTCGACCATCATCTGTGCAGAAAATATGGATATGTTCCGATATCTTTTAATTTTTTCCAAGTCCTAAGCCGCAAGCCAAAGTATATTTTTTATCACAAGATCAGTTCCAAAAGTTTGAATATTTTACTTAGTCTTGAAATTATGGAAATTGAGGAAATCAAGTTCAAAGCAGCTTTTGAAAATCCCAGAATGTTGAAATTTTTCTCCCAACCAATGTTTGGAATGTTTCTTCATGACTCTAACGTACTTAAGCCTAATGAATGCATGTACAGCGCTATTGACATTGAAGCACTAAGTGACTTCAGGTTAACTAAAAAAGTGTCAGATACTGTAAAATGGAAGTACTTCTGAAATGAGGACGATGTTTAGAGGTCGCAAATTGATGTCTGATGCCAGTTTACAATCCAGGATGGTTG